CTGCGCCACCAGGGAGGGCCCAGAATTGATCTTTAATAGAATCACGCAGGCCCAAGCCAGTGCTCATCCTAAATGCCCATTGTCTTCTCATGTGCACATCTGTTACTTCTGTCATATTTCAGGCCCACTGTGACTGCCAAGCACAGATGCCTAAGAAGGGTTACCATTTTCCTTTACTCAGTAGTTATTCTGATAACTTTATTTTTAAAATTTATTTATTTATATGTACAGAATTGGGGTACAAGCCAGAGGAGGGAAGCAGCGGGCGGGTCAGGAGAGGTCTGCCGCGCCATGTGGTCACCTCCGGGGCCGGGGATCGAACTTGCATGAAGCGGCTGCCACCAGCTTGCAGAGCTGCATCCTTACCCATTGTGCCACCGGAGAGGGCCTATTTTGGTAACTTTTACTCTAATGTAATTCCAAAATTATAGGAAAGCAGTGACAATAGTATGAAGAAAACCACAGACACTGGGGGAGGTCCCCTGGCTGTCGGTACTTTGTCACCTGCTTTAGGGCTCGCTTTCTCCTGGGATGTGCGCACATATGTACGTAGGTTTTCCTACACCCATTTCACAGTGAATGGCAGGCATGTAACTCCCACACTCTCCGCTGCTTCCCACTCCTCCGAATTTATCAAGAGCAAGAACGTTCTTACATATAATCATAGACCATTTATCAAAATTAAAAGATTTCAGTGGCTTATCCAGTTCACTCTCATATTAAAATAACAGTGATTGTTCCCAGTATGTTCCTCAGAGGGACTTTCCTGGTATAAAAATCAGTTTCCAACCATGAGCCCGCCCTGACTCCTCACGCCAGTCCCGGCGTCACCGGCTCCTTCTCGTCTTGTTCTTCTCCCTATTCGAGTCTTCCCTCTCCGATAGTAGATACCTGGTTCTCGCTGTTCGTATATTGACTCGTCGACTCCAGCCACACAGAAAGTCGTTTCAGATCTCTAAGCCATAGCACAGCAAGGAAAAAGGAGAGTTCAGTATTTTTTATAGCGTTTTTGAAAATTAGGTTGAGAGGTGTCAGAAGTTGCTCAAGCTAGCACTGCCCTGTCCTTCATGCTCTCGTGTTACATGTAGTCAGACGCTCCTGCTCTGGTGGCCCTGCTTCAGCCCCCCAACCCTCCCGCCCCCCGAGAAATAAATGCTGCATGACAGGGCCTCCCTGATGGCACAACAGGGTGAAGCACAGCACTACGAAGCTACGGCAGCCACTGCAGCAGCAGTTCGATCCCCGGCCAGGGAGTGACCCACAGGGCGCGGCAGACCGCTCCTGACCCGTCCTCTGCTCCCCTCAGCAGTGTGTTTCAGTCCATCTGCCTGTTCTGCTCCCCATCCTGTCTCTGGTGAATTTCTCCCCTGACCCCCACACATCTGGCCTGGACCCCAGTTCTTGTGTACATAAAAAATAAATCTTTAAGAAAAACTCTACATGACACAAATGTCCCTGGTGAATGTGCCGCCCTGCATGGTGGCAACAGTGACTGTACACACCTTTGGGGTGTGTTTAGCGCAACCACAGTCCACTAACTCTGGTGCCAATGGCTTAATCAGCAGGAGTCCTCGGCCCACAGCTGCAGCCATGCCCAGGTGGCAGCCTCGAGTCCACACGACTTTTGTGAAGGCGTCTTACTGCTGACTCTGAGAGAGAAGATGTTTTCTGAAGACATGTGCTGTCCGGACGGCGGTGGTGTCTGCGAAGCTGCCAGCGCGGATGGTGGGCCCTGTGCCCTAGGAGAAGATGCCAGGATGCTCACTCTGGTCAGCGAGACAGAGGGGGACCCCTTCAGGCAGATGCCCATGGAAGACGAATACACAGACAGGCCCGCCCAGGCCCCAGACTCCTACCTGTTCCTCACTCAGCCAGGAAGCAGGTGCACACCCCCCTTCTCTGAACCCCTGGAGGTGGGGGAGAATGACAGCTTGAGCCACTGCTTCACCGGAACAGACAACGCAGTGGATTCTGGAAGCTGCACCTTCATGGACCCGCTGAGCAGGACTGACTGGCCCCCTGTGACCTCCGAAAAGTACTTGCAAAAAGAGGTGGAGCCCAGTGGCCACCCCCACTGGACAGCCAGCACCAGCTCTGCAGATAGCTGTGCAGGCTGCGGGCCCCCTCCTGGGGTGGAGCAGACGCCCTTCCCGGGGGCCCCCCAGAGTGGACCTTTGCCCCAGTGTGCCCATGGCATGGGCCCTCTGTCTGAAGAAGCCGCTGACGGGGTCGAGCCAGGAGGCCTGCCCGTGGGCGGCGCTGACGGGAGTCAGCCCAGCTCAGGGAGGGGAGGCCGAGGGCCCGGAAGCCCCTCTGGGGACCAGCCGCCCGCATCCGGTAAGCCACTCTCCTGCTCGCTCACTTCTGGGCCCACAGGCCTGTTCTCAGTGTGGTGTTTAGGGGCAGGTCTCTGCCCCTTAGGAGAGAGAGAAGTGGCCATCAGCTGGAGCACTTTCTCTCGAAAAGTCTCTTCTCGGGATGGGTTTTCTTTCTAGGCAGAGGTGGGATTTCGGGGTTGTACCCCTGCCTGGGCCTTGTCTTCTGCCTGTTCCTGTGTGCGTGGCCTGTGGCCCTTTGCATCCTGGATTCTCTTAGTGGGTGTAGCCCTCAAATCCCAGGGTTGGACCTCCCGAAACAGCCAACACTCGCCTCAGACTGACCGTCAGTCAAGCATCCCCTCGGATTTCTGGCATTTCTGTTTCCAGGCACCGGGTCTCTTAAATCTCTCTCAAGGAAGAGCCAATAAATTTCAGGAGGACAGACAGAATTATTTGGTTAATCCTTAATTAATTAATATTTATTGAGAGGAGCATGTTGCTTCCCTACCAAATTAATGATGCAGTAAAACTGTCCTTTAATGCTTTATGTGAGAAGTCCCGTTCATAAGCACCGTGAGTAATGTGTTCATGGAGCCAGGAGAGTCATTTTACAATTTAAAGTCATTATGGAGATTTATCACTGCACCACTGCTCGAGCATGAATAGTCCACTAATTATAATATCAGGACTTTCTTGGCACGGGTAAAACACCCTGCTTTATTATGTGGTTACAAGGAGCTGCGCACCCATGGTGAAGGCCATTTCCGGCTGAGGGGACCTTTTCCACGGAGGTGGGGTCTCTAGGTCCTTTGAAAGCTGTGGACACTCTTTCCAGAAAGAGATACACATAGATATGTAGTAGAGGCCTCACAGAGTCCTCCCACCCTCAAAAAACTCAGCCACGGACATCCCCACTCCTGCTTTTTCTTTTCCTCTCCTGCCTCCTCGTCTGTACCCAGTGATATGAACAGTTGACACAGCTTTGTGCCCTAAACACGGGGACACTCTGACCTCCGGCTGTAGCGGCGCCTGGCTCACCTGGCAGAACAAGTATTTCATCTATTTCCCAAGCTTGTTGTGGGTTTGCTGCTCTGACACAGATTCACTCGTGTGGACAGTGTGGTTCCCAGGTGGACAGGAGGAGACAGTGTTAAAGAACCGATGTGAAGATCTCAGAGTCTTCTAGAAGACTTTAAGGCATTCCCATGACTGCACGCGGCCTCCACCTGCTTTCCCTGTTAGCTGCCCGTCAGAGGGACCCAGAATGCTAGGTAGGGGGGCTGTAGGGTCTCGCGTGGCGGTGGCCGGGTCTTGGCCATGCCTCGGGCAGACCGGGTCTTTGGTGACACTGGGAAGGTGTCGTCAGCTGTTCTTGAAAGAACAGTGTGGTCCAAATGTAGAGATGTTTTTTCTTAGTATCACGAAACAGAAGTGAGCGCTCTCCTCTAAGGAGTCAAAGGGAGCCCCAGACTGATCTTCATTACGTTTGATTTCTCCAGCACTAAACAGCTAGGCATGGAGGCAGGGGGCGGGGTGGGGGGAGTGTGTCATCAACTCAGTGGTGTTAATTTACAAAAATTTTACCGTTTTTCTGTCTCTGTCTGGTGCTCAGCCGCGCACAACATCTGCAGAGGCCGCCAGCAAGTGGGCCAGATTCATTTTCGCCTGAGGAGAAGCAGCAGCCAGACCAATTCTCGAGCTGTGCTGTTTCCTCCGTAATTACGTCTGCATGTACAGGCCTTCTGGTTTGGGGTCAAAATAATGTTTTCTTGCCTTTGCTTCTTTTTAATTGTCATCATTCGTGGCCCACAAAATGTGTGAGAGAGGATGGCGCTTGGGTGAAAGAGAAGAGAGCTCCAGATCCTACTTGATCTAAAGTCCATGGAGCTCAGTCTGTGGGGGATGATCATTGTACCAGCTCTTGCGGCTTTCCATGTGGTGTTTTGTTGTTGTCTGTTTTTTTTTTTTTAAAGATTTATTTATTTGCGCATACAGAACTGGGGTACAGGCCAGAGGCTCAGGGGCGGCAAGAGGCTTCACCAGAGACAGAGTGGGGAGCAGAACAGGCAGATCGACGAAGTACACTGCTGAGGGGAGCAGCGGGCGGGTCAGGAGAGGTCTGCCACGCCATGTGGTCACCTCCGGGGCAGGCGGGAATCGAACTCATGCGGAAGCGGCTTTAGATTCTCAGTGTTGTGCTTTAACCCGCTGCACCACCAGGGAGGGCCTGTTGTCTATTTTTTAATGTGCACCCAAATCAGTTGGTTTCTGTAGAAGCAACGATTGCGGCCATCCTCTGTAGGGAAGTGTCTCCTTGGCTTTGCATTCAGCATCCTTTGGAAGAGAGCGATGGCTTTTCCAACTGTGCCACTGGTGTTCTTTTAAACACAGTATGTTGAGGTTATTTTAGCCACGTGTGGCTCTTAAAAAGATAGTAAGAATGATTAGCAAATAACGACCAGGGAGCGCAGAAACACTTTTAGTCCTGTCTTCCATGACCATGTCTTCAGTGATTCTCTTATGACGTGAGAGCGTTACCTTGGTTACAAGCCCTTTTGCCCTGGGGTTCGGGAATCCTTGCTGTGTCTAGAGAGCTATGTGAGAGAACAGCTTCTTAGAATTAATGTGTCGATAGTTGGCTAGTGACTTGCTTTTGGCCCCTGCAGTCACTTGCTTGGATCAGCTACTTCTGAGCTGGAGACAGATGTCTGTTTATAGGACTCACAATAATTTCCTGGGAACACTAACTCCACTTTTGTGTTTTTGTCAAATCTTTCTTGAGGTTCCACTGAGCCAAGGAGGGAAAGCTTGGAAAACAAGTAGGGATTGATGTCAGGGAATACAACACATGGAAAGAGTCATTTGAGAAGACCAGGCTTTCCCACTGTTCCTTTCAGTATCCCTCCCCCCACACACACACCTATTCTGGCCAAAGCCAACCCCCTTTTGGGGTGGGGGAATGTGGGGGGGCAGCCCTCACTTCCATGCCTCTGCACTGCTAATGTGCTCCCCAAGGTGAGTCACCCTTTACCCCTGCCGGCCCCTTTTCCAGACAGCCCGTTCTTCCCATCCTTCTGTCCCAGCTCAGATGCCACTTTCCAGCCCAGAAATGGGCAGGGTGGGGCATGCACTTCCCAGAGCGCCATCTTCCTCTTTGAGCCCAGCACCCTCACACCTTCATCAGTAACCCCCGCCTAGGCAGCCAGAGCCAGTCAGGGGGCCTGTCCATGGCCTCCCCACTCCCGACCTACCCTGACCACTCCCAACGTGACTTAGTCATAGCCGGTTAAGTAAGCAAATGTTCGACTCTTCACTCATCCACTGAGTCCTGAATAGCTAGAGCAACATGACTCCTGGCAAACTGTTTGCTCTCCAGCTCACTCTCAACCTCCCGCTTCAGTCCCTTTAAGGAGCTGGGTGCTGGCTGTCTGGGGAGAGGAGGCAGAGACAGCAGAAGGATGGGCGAGCAGTCCATCCGGTGGCCAGATGGCCAAGGTCAGTGCCGGGACCCTGAAGGATGGGGGTGCCAGCCTCTCCACCATGCCTGGGACCCACTCTCTCTCGAAACAACTGCTCCTGACTTTTCCTCCTGCAAGGACAGATAAAGGGTTTCCTACCCTGTTTTTCCTTCCCCCTCCCAGCTCCCATCCCTGGGAGCAATGAAAAGTCCTCTGGCTTTCTTCTCTCCCCAGCTGGAATGCCATCCACCAACGTGTGTTTCACCATTAGCTAAGTGTCATAAGGGCCGGGATAGCCCCGCCCTGACTCTGTGGGTCCAAAGTGATACTTGGTTATTTGGTAGTGACAGTCAACACTCATTGGTGCTAAGCGCCTATGCATGATTGCACAGCTTGGAAAACGTGTTTAGTCTGTACTCCGTCACTAGTCCTCCCCGCCTCCTCCCCACCTCCTCTGTCACGCTCCGAGACTGTCAGGCCTGATCTGAGTAGAACTGTTAAATGCTCCTTCCCCAACTTACCACTATAGACCCAGCGTCTTCCAAATGTCTAAAGCAAATCTTGCATTTCCATTAAAAGGAAAATCACATGAGAAGCATATGGGTTAAATATATAAGTGTTTATATATAAACCCAGTGTAGCTGGGGTAGTTGAATGTATTTGTGTATATTTTTAGTTCTGTTCCTTGGAAGAAAATCTACATGACAATCAGGTGGTATTATTTGCTACAGTGCTTGTGACTTAATATTCATAAGTATGCATTTTAGACAACATAATGAGCGTTGGGGAAGAAAAGTGTGCATTACCTTGCTTAAAAATGTAAATTCAGTTTGGGACTGATTTCTTAAAATGAAGCTTGTTCTCCCCACCTGAGAAATAGACCCCATGGTGCCCACTATGTAAAGCGAAGTAGAAACATCTTAGGAATTGTGACAGGAAACTTCATTTGCTCTTTGTTTCTGTTGCTGTAAATGCTATTTTTAAAGCCTCCGATTTTCTGAAAATTTCTTTCTAGTGAAGTCATTAAATATTAAGCCAACTAACAGTCTAAATGTCAGAAATGCCAGATTTTCTAACTTAATGCAATTCCTATTTGACTCTGGCTCGCAAACCATGCTCTTGGGTAGGCTTCGAGACACTCCCATCTTGAGGTTGCCTTATGTTCCAAGACAAGTAAGACTGCTTGTCATTCTGAAGGCTACTCTTGGATCAGAACTACCTCTCCTCAGGTGCTGGCTGCTGCTCCTGGTGTGCTGTCTTCTCAATTCCTCCCAGAAATCCTGTGAGCAGGCTTCTCTTCCAGGACCAGCTAGGCAGGCAAAAAGCCAGGACCGTGTCTGGATCGTGAGGCCTGTTCCATAAAATGCCCTTGAATGGGGACCACTGGTTTTGCTTATTGTGCCTCGCAGTCTCGAGTGAGTGAAGGCAGAGCCAGGCCCAGCCCAGCCCAGAGGTTACACAGGAAAGGACAGTAGGGTCTGAGAAGGGGCAAGGACCGCCGTGGCCTGAGTCCGCTCTTCTGCAACTATCTCAGGACAGTCTTCACTGTCCCCAACTATAGAGAAAATCCTTTCTTCCAGGTGCCTCCAAACCCATCCTCTTTTGCAAATGAAATAAATTTAAAAACAATGCCTGGATCAGCCTGTTAGGATAAAACTCAGAGAGATGGGGAGGGGGGGGAGCAGGGGTGTTGGCCAGCACTTTCTATAACAAGAGGTCTGTGGATGTGGTGCCTGTACAAGCCTGGGCTTCTTTTAAGGCATCTTAGATGAGCCTCCACCACACCCTCCGGTACCAGCCACTGCCAAGAGAGTGGTCTCCCTAGCAGCAGGCAGCCTGAGACTTCTTGGCACCCTGTGGAGCTAGCCCTTCAGGTCAGTGTCTCAAGCATGGAAACCATGGCGGCCGTGCGAAGCCCCCAGGGTGATGCAGCTGGTCAACCTGCACCATTCCCCATCCTGTGCTCTCAGGTCAGTTTGCATAGACAGTTCCAGTTGCATGGAAAACACTTCTGCTCTGAAAGGTTGAATTTCCTTTAAGCTGTTAGTGTTTTAGCCATTCAAAGCATAGCCTCTCAGTGGGAAAATTGCTTTGTGTGGAATGGTGACAGAAGATATTATGTGTGTGAATTTTAACTAAGCTTGAGTCAAGAGAAAGAAGGAAAAAAAGATGAGAAAGTTAATGATAATGAATCGTTTGGATATTACCACCCCTGGTCAGACTTTGTGAGTCTTAAAGTATTGGGATGTTTCTAGATCAGTTTGGTTTCAGGCACTGATTTCCCCTTGGGAAATTTCCAGAACATCAGAAGTAGATGGTGCTTTATTTAAACCAAAGGATAATAAAAGGTAGCTGGCTTTCTAACATTTGTTGAACTTTCTACTGGTGTCTCAAAAGGCTGGCTGCCTCCAGTATTGACTGAGAAAAACACAGTGACACTAAAATACGATGTATTTATTGGGGGGCTTACATTTAGAAACCAGGGAGCACAAACTGAGCCATCCCAAATTGTGTTCCTGGGACTGTTCAGAGTGTTTTGAAGGAAAGCAGGGAGAAGAAGGATAAAATTGACCAAGACTAGGGTTAGATAGCTTAAAATTCACTTTCAGTCAAGCCAGACTTATTTACCAAGAGAAATAAAAGGGGAAGACATCTTTGCACTGCTCTGAGAGGGTCTTGTGTAGCCAGAGACTGGTTCTCGCCAGCCAGTAAATGCTTTATTTTCACTTAAAAGTTGAGTAAGATGGTGCCTTGGGCACAAGATGGAGCTGGTCCCATGTGCCAACCTCAAAGAAGTGTTGCCAGAACCTACTAGAGAGAAAACACTCTGGGTTCAGTGTCCTGAGGACCTGTTCTTGCTTTCCCTTGTCCGTCTTCTGACTCTTCTTTTCCCAGGAATTTAAAAAAAAAAAAAAAAAGGTTAAGAAAATGGATTAACCTCTGCCACATACTGAGCAGGGGTGGCCTTGACCCTCCAGGCCTGAGCAGGCCGGCGGTCCTCGGGAGGTGAAAAGATGTGAGGATCTGATAGAGAAGCGGAAGCTGAGCCCAGGGCCGCCAAGGACCCCTTTTCTGTCTGGATGATGTGGCTGGGCCGCTGGCACCTCTTGGCTGAGCCTAATGGTGTCCTGGGTCCTGCAGTCGGGGGAACGCTCCCCTTCCCCCATCCATGCCTGTTGCCCCGAGTCCAGCGAGCAGACCACACAGCTGGCCCGTGGTCTAGCTTCTCCGGGCTGCTTTCTCTGCCTCCCTTCCACCCTCCTCTGCCTCAGGCAGGTGTGAGGAAAGGGCAAAGGAACTACAAGGCGGGCCTTTTAGGAGACAGACCCGTGGAGAGGTGCAGACCAGCCAAGGGGGACTGGGGCGCCATCGCCCCTTTATTCATGCGGAAACTTTCCTAGTTCTCCCCCAGAACCGATGACTCACCTGTGCGTGTTCTCTCTTCCTCTCCCCTGTAGGAAATGTGACTGGAAACAGTAACTCCACGTTTATTTCCAGCGGGCAGGTGATGAATTTCAAGGGCGACATCATCGTGGTCTATGTCAGCCAGAACTCCCAGGAGGGCCCGGCGGGCCCGGGCGGCGGCGCGGGGGAGCCGGTGGGCCGCCCGG